ACATTCTGCACACCATCGACATCACAGTTGTTCAGAGCAGCAGCCATGTTTGAATAACCCAAACTGGAAACCACCCACACACCAGCTCAGGGTGGATGAACAGAGTGTGGGAAAGCCACACAACGAAGCACTGCCCAGCAAGGTGAAGGAGCAGCCTATGGTGGCTAGAATGCAACATGCCTGGATCTGTAACATCAAGCAAAGAGGCAGGCACAGAAGACATCCTTTCCCTCCTGTTCAACTCCACCAATACGAGGTTCAAAGAACAGGCAAGAAAATTAATCTGTGAAAGAAAAGTGTTTGCTCTCATTGACAAGTAGCAGGAAGGAGCACGTAGGACCATTCTCGCCCCTTGACTGGGGTGTGCGTTCTGCAGGTGTGTGAAGATGTGCACGTTTAACTGTATGTGAAATTTATCTCAACAGAATAAAGAGGAATGTGTGTAGCAGAAAGAGCTCTAGTTAGCAGGGTTTGCATTTCACAGTGGTGTTTCTAAAATGGCTTGGTTATATTCTGGGGTTCAGTAAAAGAGGGGTAAATAGGTTAAGAATCATGGGAGCCAAGCCTCTCACTCTTGGGCAGGGGAGTTACAAGAGGCCCTAGAGGTGTTGGAAGTATCAGTGTGAACTCGTAGTCTTGTGAAGATGGATGGATGAATATGCTACATATACACGTGTGTGTGTGTGTATATATATATTGTTTCTATGTCTGTGAATGTTTCTGTATTTCTCCCTGTGCACACCATCCCTCCCTCCTTCCTCTTTCCACCCCATCAGGGAAGAGTGAGTTTTTCACTCAGAGGAGCCTAAAAGGCATGGCAGCACAGGAGCAATAGGCACATTTCACATCCAGATATTGGTTTCTAAACACCATGATCCACAGAGAACAGGCTGATTCAAGGGCTGGTTCAGAATGCAAAAGATGAGCCTGGAATATGTCTTGTGCCGGAAAGTACGGAGGTGCCAAAGGAGGAATGATGCCTGAGGGGACTCCCATAGATCACATCTGGGACAATTTTGGCATCAAAAGCAATGAATGATATGAAAAAAGTATGTGCAAATATATACATGTGTAGGAACAGTTGGGTAGGTGGCTAGGTAGGTGGACCCAGTTGAGAGGGAAAGGAGAGGGAGAGGTGGTGAGAACCTCGAAGCAAGTGGGACAGGTGTGTTGGGTTATAGTCTACTAAATAAACTTAAAATAAGAAAGTAAAAAATAATTCTGAGTCTTTTTAAAAAAGAAAAAATGAAGGGCAGAAGAACAAGGAAGATATTTTTTTATTTATGTACTAACAAATGCATAGAAGGAAGACAGGGCTAGAAAATGATGGGCAGGTGTTCAAATAAATGCACAAACATTTCATGAGGAATAAGATCGTTATATATTTTCAAGATACCTTTCTAAATGTCGTTTATTAATTACAAGCAGGAAATAACTTTACAGAGAAGGAAACTGGTATATCTTCTCCAGGTGATCAAAGATCATGCATGTTGATAAATCAACAATGCCTCCCTTATTAATTACAAGCAGGAAATAACTTTACAGAGAAGGAAACTGGTATATCTTCTCCAGGTGATCAAAGATCATGCATGTTGATAAATCAACAATGCCTCCCCATACAAAGCATGACCTGGGTCTGGTCATGAGGAAAGCCCAGCCAGACCTGCAGGGAGGGACATTCTACAAAATAACCAGCTGGTTCCCCAGTGCTACAAAAGAAAACACAAAGCTGCCATCAGCCCTCGATGGAAGGCCACTGAGGCACCATGACCAGGGTGCCTGGACTGGGGCTAGACCTGGGAAATCAATGCCACATGGGGCAGCACTAGGGCTGCTGGTAAAGCTGAACTGGGCTGTGGGTTAAATTCTAGTATTGTATCCACACTACAGTTCTTTATTTTCATAAATGCACCCTGGTTATGAGAGAATGTCCTGGTCCTTAGGAAATAGGCACCAAAGTAACTGGGGTAAAGAGATACAATGTCTCCACCTACGCTCAAAGGTTATAAAAACAAATATGTGCAAATACATACATGTGTGGACCGACAGCTAGGTGGCTAGGTAGGTGGACAGACAGGTGAGAGGAAAGGAGGGAGGAGCAGTGAGAACCTCGAAGCAAGTGGGGCAGGTGCGTCTGGACAAAGGTACTTGGGAGTGCCTTGCACCGTTCTTGCAGCCATCTTTAAGTAATCCAGCATCATCCCCCCCATCCCATATTAAAAAAAATGTGTTTGATTTTGTCCCCACTTTCTGGCACAGAGCTCCAACCCTTGGAATTTGCTGAGTGACAGAAGAGTATTTTGTTATTCATAACGACCCCCTCTGACCACACCTGAGTTTATGCTAATGAAGTGACCTAGGGTGGGGTCCCTAGATGGCCTCTGATGGGGCTGGTCACCAGAAAGACCAAGCCACTGAGGACTGGAATGTCCAGCCCCACCCCCTGGCCTCTGGGAAGGAGTGGGGGCTGCTGGAGATTAAATCCTCAAAAATCTCTTGGACAATGAGGTTTGATGAGCTTCCTGGTTGGTGAACACATGGGGGTGTGAGGAGGGTAGCACACCCAGAGGGTGTGGGAGTCCTGCACCCCGGCCCCTAGTCCTTGCCTTGTGCATGGCCTCTTGAGTCATATCTTTCATGATAAATAAGAAATGTAAGCAAAGGGCCTCCTGAATTCTGTGAGCCACCCTAGAGAACTATCAAACCCGAGGAGGGGGTTGCAGGAGCCCAATTTATAGCCACTTCATCAGAAGTACAGGAGCCAACCTTGGACCTGTGATTATAGCTTCTAAAGTGGGGGCTGAACCCTTAACCTGTGGGGCCTGCGCTAACTCCGGGTAGTTGGTGTCAGAACTGAAAGGAATTACAGGGCACTCAGTTGGCATCTGTAAGACGCGGTCGTTGGTGTTGGAAAACACCCCACTCCCCGAAACAAAACAGACATGGAGCAATCGGAATTCCTCAAATGCTGCTGAGGGGAGTGGGAATGGGCACAACCACTTTGGAAAGCAATCCAGCAGTATCTGCTCAGCACACACACACTACGCATGCCCAATCCGTGCCACTCCCCGGTAATATCCAACAGAGAAGGGAAGACACGTGTGCATCCAAGACATACACAGAAGCGTTTGGGGCAGCATTACTCCTACTAGCTCCCAAGTGGAACTGACCCAAAGGCCAATCAAGGACAGAGTAGACACATCCGCCATAGTGGTGCACTGACCTAATTAATACACACCCAGCACCCAGCGGGGCATTCCACCTGCCCAGTGGAATTCTACCCAGAAACAAGAATGTCGGCTCTACAGATAAACACAGCAGTGTGGGGCAATCTTATAAAGACAAGGCTGAGCCAAGAAGCCCTTCATTATTGGGCTGTTGTGCTAGGCTCAAGGGATGTCAGGATGAGGAGGACATTCTGGCCTCCTGGATGGCACCCCCTCAGTGCAAGAGACCAAGGCAGCACAGTGGGGGCTGGGTCTGGAGGGACTCGCAGGAAGTCTGGCATGCAGCTGTGTTCACGCCAAGGGGCAGGGCCTTCTGTTTGCTTTAGCCTGGTGCCCAAAGTCCTGGTGGGATGTGAGTGGGTGCCCTGGAAATGTCAGGCGATGGACTGAATGAATGGCAGGCCCACCATAAGCCCATAGAAATGCATCAACACGCACTTGGCTGAGTCAAGTCTAGATAAGGACACCCACGTATGTCTCCAGCCCCACCTGGGGTATGACCTGGAGGTGCTGGCCAGCTGCCATCCTGCAGCTAAGTACACCCAGACTCGTCTGTTCCCTAAGACCGTCCCCTCCACCGGTCCCCAGCAACCAGAGTCCTTGGAAGTCACTGCAAGAACTCAGTAAATCTTATTTTCCGTCTTCTCTTCCTGACGCCTGCACTCAGCAGGAGGGCTGGCGGGAAGCACCCTGCACTACTGCATTCCTCATGAGTGGCTGCTGCAATTTCAGGCCAGGCTGCCTGACCCACATAACTGGGAAGTGTATTCCTACGGAGCACCCAAGCCCAGGAAGCGGAGCTGAGGACACCCACATGGGGGGCTAGGGGAGCCCCTGCCGTCAAACCTCTGGCCTACCCACTCCTTGACTGTGTGGCGATTAGGCCAGAGGTGAGGCTGACTCCAGAATTCTCCATTTAATGAACAGGACGTGACACAAAGTGCGTGTGCGTGCCCACCCAGCTGACTCTCTCGCCTAAGAACTATTTTAAAAACTAAGGAAGAAGAAAAAGATAAGATAACAGATGACACAGAAATGCAACAAACACCTTCTGTGTGTGTGTGCCTTCAACAAACATTTAATCCACACCTACCACAGACCAGCCCACACTCAACCTTTGATTGACATTTCTAGAATGAAAACACCGGCTGGGCTCAGGACCTGGGTTTGCAAGTGGCTTTTGTGGCGTGGCAGTGAGGTCCACAGCTCTCCTAGTCCACAGGTGAAGACCTGAAGCTCAAAGAGACAAACTCCTCGAACAGCACAGCCAGTGGGTGCCACAGCCAGGGGCAGAACCCCAGCTGGGCACATGGCCCTGAGGCCACATTAGTAAACAGTGGCATCCAGGGGGTGGCCAGTCATTGGCATCACTCAATCTTCAGCAAATATAAAGCAGAGGATCCCTTTCTGTACCTCCCAGAATGGGGGCAGAGACTCCTCGGGGGGCCTCACATTCCAGGAGAGGACCCAGGAGAGGACAGTGAGCCACGGGGAAGGGAACCCCAGGAACTACTGCAGCAGGGGGAGGCAGGGACGCAGCCCAGCCAGGAGGATTTCCTAGGAGCTGAGCTTCATTCACATATCAACTAGGCTCAGAAAACTGGTAAGAGTTTGTCTTATCCAAGGGAAAAGAGGGGAGGGATAGTGTTCCGGGCACTGCAAGAGCAAAGGCCAAGAGGCCAGGAACCCCCAGGCACAGGGTGTGAGTCAGGCTGTGGGAGTGGCCAGGAGGTGGGGCCACCCTTCTGCACCTCCTCTGGGGCCAGGCAGGAGAGCCGGGTTTATAGCAGCAGCCACTGCTGGGTGCTCTGGAGCCGGAGAGTCCCTGGGCAGCATGCTGTGTGCCCTGCTCCTCCTTCCCAGTCTCCTGGGGGCCACCAGGGCCAGCCCCACCTCAGGCCCCCAGGAGTGTGCAAAGGGCTCCACGGTGTGGTGCCAGGATCTGCAGGCAGCTGCCAGGTGCGGGGCCATGGGGTACTGCCAAGGGGCCGTATGGAACAAACCCCCCGTGAAGTCTCTGCCCTGTGATGTATGCCAGGACATAGCAGCTGCTGATGGCAACGGGCTGAACCCTGACGCCACGGAGTCTGACATCCTGGCTTTGGTGATGAAGACCTGTGAGTGGCTCCCCAGCCAGGAGTCTTCAGCCGGATGCAAGTGGATGGTGGATGCCCACAGTTCAGCCATCCTGAGCATGCTCCACGGGGACCCGGACAGCGCCCCGGCACAGGTGTGCACAGCGCTCAGCCTCTGTGAGCCGCTGCAGAGGCACCTGGCCACCCTGGGGCCACTCTCCAAAGGGGACACCTCTGAGGCTGTGGCTCCATTCATGGCCAATGGGGCCCTTAGGTTCCACCCTTCCCAGGTGCCTGAAGGAACTCTGTGCCAAGACTGTGTACGGCAGGTCTACCGACTCCAGGAGGCTGTCCGGTCCAACTTGACCTTGGCAGACTTGAACATCCAGGAGCAGTGTGAGTCCTTGGGGCCTGGCCTGGCTGTCCTCTGCAAGAACTACCTCCGTCAGTTTTTTGTCCCTGCTGAGCAAGCACTGAGCCTTCTCCCCGCGCAGGAGCTCTGCAGGAAGGGGGATTCTGTGAGGAGCTAGGGGCACCTGCCCACTTGACTCAAGTAGTGGCCATGGACGGGGTCCCCTCCCTGGAGCTGGGGTTGCCAAGGAAACAGAGTGAGATGCAGATGAAGGCCGGAGTGACCTGTGAGGTGTGCATGAGCGTGGTACAGAAGCTGGACCACTGGCTCATGTCCAATAGCTCTGAGCTCATGATCACCCACGCCCTGGAGCGCGTGTGCTCGGTAATGCCTGCCTCTATCAGGAAGGAGTGCATCATCTTGGTGGACACCTACAGCCCCTCCTTGGTGCAGCTTGTGGCCAAAATCACCCCAGAGAAGGTGTGCAGGTTCATCCGTCTGTGTGGCAACTGGAGGCGGTCCCGAGCACTCCCTGACGCCTATGCAGTCGTGCTGTCCCCAGAGTGGGACGCGGAGAACCAGGGCAGCTTCTGCAATGGTTGCAAGAGGCTGCTCACGGTGTCCTCCCACAACCTGGAGAGCAAGAGCACCAAGCGAGACATCCTGATGGCCTTCAAGGGTGCCTGCAGCATCCTGCTGCTGCCCTACATGATCCAGTGCAAGCACTTCGTCACCCAGTATGAGCCTGTGCTCATTGAGAGTCTCAAGGACGTGGTGGACCCTGTGGCTGTGTGCAAGAAGGTGGGGGCCTGCCATGGTCCCAGGACCCCACTGCTGGGCACTGACCAGTGTGCCCTGGGCCCAAGCTTCTGGTGCAGGAGCCACGAGGCCGCCAAGCTGTGCAACACTGTGCAGCACTGCCAGAAGCACGTATGGAAAGAGACACCCCTCCACGCCGGGGAACACGCATGACCGTGGCCGCCAGAGACCCAGGGCCTGCTAGCCACGCCCCAGGAGGTTCCTGTACCCCACAGGAGCCCCATGAGGTGGGTGCTTTCCCATCCCCATCTCACAAATGAAAAACTGAGGCTCGGAGGAGGGAGGCTGGGAAGGAGCAGAGCCGAAGTTCAAAGCCAGGTATTCCTGACCCCAAAGGCCTCTCTCTTTAACAACTGTGCTGCCTCAAAAGCATCTTTACTGGACCAGAGCAAACTCATGTGCTGTTCCTCGACCCAGCCAAGGCTGCCCCTTCATCTCCAAGGCTGTGCTGTTGCCGGTGGTTCCATGAGAGCCTGCCCATGGCCTCGGGTGCCCCTTTACCTTCTGCTGGATGGACGTCCGGCTGTGAGCCAGGCTGGGGTCGTGGCCGGGGTGGGCAGAGGCAGAGGCAGAGGCAGATGGAGGCGTGGAGGGCCTGTCTCTAGTGGGGTCGTTACCTCTTGTCAACAGCTGGGGGTGGCTCAGGCCAGAGCTTCTCAACCTGGAGTCCCTCAGAATGGCTGCCAAAGGTGTGTGTGAGAGACACGTATCCCTGGACTTTTCTTGGGGGAGGTCTGGGACTTTGGCCACATTCTCCAAGGGCTGCTGGGCTTCGGAGCAGTGCCCCCTATGTCTCGGCCACCCCAGGGTCCCTCTCTCTCCTTGTGCCCCAGACCCTCTGCTGCCCTGGTAATGAGCAGAAGGAAAGTCTTGGGGTGTGCTCAAAATCAGGAGAGCAAAACATGCCAGGCAAAACCCCTGGGAAAAGCCGGAGGAGTCTGGGGTGACCAGCGGGGTGTGGAGCAGCAAGGGCAAAGACAGTGATCACAGCCCTCCAGCTGTCTGAACCTCAGTTTTCCAATCTGTAGAATGGAGATGATCATACCTGCCTCACAAGAATGTTGAGACAATTCACAGAAATGTTCTGGAGCCCCTTCCCCCTGTGACCGGCATTCATGAGTCTGCTGGGACCAGAAAACCCATCTCAGGGGGTCAGCGGGGCACCCAGGAGAATCTGGCTGTGCATGTGCTGTATAAACCACAAGCGTTCTCCACATGCTGTGTGCCGCGTTCTTATTCTCAGGGAAGGCACAGGTCCCAGAGCTGCTACAACAGCCCCCACCTTGCCCTGGTGCCTCCACCTCACCCTGGTGCCCCCTCTGGCAGAAAGCCTCTGGGGGCTTCATGCTGGGTTCAAGTGCTCCTGTGGTTTCTGCTCCTGCTGTGTGGCCCCCCAAGACACTGTGCCCCCTCCAGGGGAGTCCCTGGGCATGAGCCTGCCGTGTCCTTGCAGCTGGCCCAGCACCCACGCACAGCAGGTGCTCACACATCTGGGAGCCACACACATGAGTCCTGGGGGAGGAAGCTGGCATTTCACCTGAGGCCCATGGATTAATTCTCCTCTTGAGCAAGAGGTACGCCAGGCCTGGATGGACAGGATGTGAGCGGGTACTGTTTTCCAAGAGGCCACACCCGAGCTCTTAAGTAAACGTCCCAGGCCTGGGCCACCGCCCCAGGAACACAGGCACACTTGGCCTGAGATTCTGGATGCCTCAAAAGTGGCCCCTGTTGGCTGATCAGGCCTGGGCCCGCTGGGCAGTCCCACAAAAGATGAGGCCAGCAAGGGGTGGCGGTCATACCTGGCCACCGGATGGGCCATGGGAAGGTAGATGTGCACCAGACTCCAAAACAGAGGGCCTGAAGTTGGGGGCCTCCGTATCTGCCTCTTCCCCTGAGACCACCCGCCCTCTCCAGGAGCAGTCCCAGAGGCTCTTGGTCTGCCTGCCAGTCGGTGCCCCCGCCGGACACACCCTCTGGGACAGGATGGAGCCACAGGCCCTCCACAGTCCCAGAGGCGCCTGGTCTGCCTGCCAGCCGGTGCCCCCGCCGGAGCCACCTCTGGGACAGGATGGAGCCACAGGCCCTCCTCTGGCTTGGCTGTGAGTTGGGAGGATGTGTGTGACATGACCTGAAATCCCCCAACAGGTGGTCACCTGGGAGAGGCCAGAGAGGGCAAGCGCCCACGCCTGCCAGGCGGCCCAGCCTGAGCACCAAGCCCCAGCTCAGTGCACCTGCCCCAGTTCAGCGTGAGACGCCTGCCTCCCAGCTCAGCGCACCTGCCTCCCAGCTCAGCACCTGCCCCAGTTCAAGACCTGCCCCAGCTCAGCGCACCTGCCCCAGTTCATGCACCTGCCCCAGCTCAGCCAAGACCTGCCCCTAGCGTTCAGCGCAGATCTGCCCCAGTTCAGCGCGAGACCTGCCCCACCCCAGAGCTACCTACGGCGTGGTGGTCAGGTGAGCTGTCTCCACGCCCTCTCCCCACCCAATTTGTACCCAGGTACCAGCTGCTCCCACAGAGCCACTGGACCAAATGTGTCCCCAATTAGATGGCTGCCCATGATGAACAGAGCTCACTTACTGCAAGTGACCCCACAGGCCCAGCTGCACACTCCAGGAGGTCATGAGCACAGCGCCCTGCCCCCCTGCGCCACAGGGGCCCTCTGACCCCTCCACCACTCATCTGCCACCAGTGTAGGGTCCCAGCCACTCCTCCATCCCCTTTTGTGCTCCACCAAGCCCAGAACATAGGAGTGTGCCTGCAAGGGTCCACAGCTGGGGTGGCTGCCTTTGGGGGCTAAAGGCAGAGAGGCAAGAGGGGAGCAACGGACGGGGTTCTCTGGTGCTGATGGCAGCACCGTCATTCAGCACTGAGATTCGAGAGAGGCTACATGGAGTCCACATCCAATGACTATAGCATAGCCACCGCGTTCAGACTGAAAAAGGCTTTTCGGTGAAGGCCCTGTAACCCGGCCAGGGAGAGGAGATGCCAGCCCAGAGAAGAGCAGCCAGCCCTACTGGGCCTAGAAGTTTGGAAGACCCATCCCAACAAGGATGGGAAATCAAGACAGATGCTGAGCATGGATCTTCCCGAGGCGGATCACCCGCGCAGAGAGCGCCTCTGCCTGGGAGGAGGGAGAGGGCTCCCCCGCCGCGGCCAGAGCTGGGTAGCGCTCCGCGCCTTCAGCAGACACACGCCTCGGGCACTTCAGATGCCGCTGTGAGGGCAGGAGATCTGCATTTCCGTCGTGAGGCAGAGATCTGGGACGCCCCAGAACACCTACAGATGCCGCCCCTCGAGCTTTCTCAGCTACACCAGGGTGCAGAGGGGCTGGGGGAGCCGGGAAAAGGGTTTGGTGGTCCAGCGGATTTTTTTGTTTTTGGCTTGGGGCTTTTCTTAGAAGTGATGTGTTGCTAGAAACTTCAAACCAGATACAAATACACCCAATGATGTTCTCTCTCTCTTTTTTTTGGTGAATAATTTATACAAACTCAGGGCTCTCCTGGAAAGCATGGAAGAGCAGTCCGTGGGCACAGCTGCCTTCAATGTGGGAACGGTGAGCCCTGTGCCCAGGAGGGACACGTCAGGGACAGCCCATGCTGTCCACGCTCCCTCCCCTACTTTCACCTCCCGGGATGAACTTTAAATCCTATTCCTTACAACGAGAAGTGGGCCTGGAAAAGCTTCCCCTGCACACCTGAGTGCCATGTACCACAGGGCCCAGGACAGTGGCCCCTGTGCACCGGACAGCTGTTTTCCCAGCTGGTCTCTTAAAAAAAGGAGGGAAAAATGCCCTTAGAGTGGAAGAGGCGATGGGACCTTTTTCCAGTTGGAACAAAAAAGATTTTTATGAATTTTTTGTGGTGGGATCAGGACTTGCACATGGATGCCTTGTGTGTCGCGGGTGTGAGGACAGAGAACACAGGCCCTGAGCCTGCTGCCCCTCCACTTACTGGCTGTGTGGCCTTGGCAAGTTACTTCTCCAGCTTCAGCATCCACCTCTGAGGAACAGAATAAGAATAGTAGAAATAGTCTCTGTCTCATGGTGGCTGTAGGGTGGGGGAGCATGAGTGAAGCCAGAGTACTGTAACCACTCCCCGCTGCCTTACCAGACCTGGAAATCAGTGTCACTTAAAGATCTGCAAAAATGTAACCCTGAAAATGTATTTTTCTTTTTTCTTCCCTCCTTTCCATGATCATACTCTTTCCTTTATTTCTTTTTTCCTCCCCTCTCCAACTGGCTTCTCTCCAATAGCATTCAGTCACTTCAATGAGTCATAACTACTTGATTCTCTCATTCATTCTCTGCATATTCATTTCCTGCATATTTGCATTGCAGGCCTAATATGTACCTCTCTCCATTATATGTGCTATGGATAATATTAAAAAAAAAAAAGTCTTTGTACTCATGCAGCTTACCTTCAAGTAAGAGAAAATTATATTAAGTTAAATCAGAAATTTAAGCTGTTTTATTTACATGAATTATATTTTTTCTTAATAATTTATATTTTTATAAAGCATTTGAATATATCATATATTTTCCTCACCATCACTACCTGTTTCTAATTTTGAATAAAAAAAATTGGCATTGTAAATACAACACAAATTTACATATATTTCCTACCACAATGAAATCGAAGGCATATTGCATGGAATTTAGGAAATATATCTGAATTCAGCAGGTCTAAAGCCTCTAAATCAACATAGAAATCTGAAAGTCGTTGGTCTTCTGACCAAACACCAGACCAATGGGTTAGATCCTGAGAAAATGTGGTTGCTTAATGATTTGCTTTATATACAGTTAATTGTCAATCCTTTTATTTTTCTTCTCTCTCTTCCTTTGAAAAGATGTGTATTTGTGTATTAGTTCATTCTCATGCTGCTATGAAGAAATACCCAAGACAGGGTAATTTATAAAAAAGACGGATTTAATTGACTCACAGTGCCACATAGCTGGGAAAGCCTCAGGAAACTTAAGAATCATGGCAGAAGACATCACTTCACAGGGTGGCAGGAGAGAGAATGAGTGCAGAGCAAAGGGGGAAAGCACCTTATAAAACCATCAGATCTCCTGAGAACTCATTATCACAAGAACAACATCGGGGAAACCACCCTCATGATTCAATTATCTCCACCTGGTCCTGACCTTGACATG